TTTTATCAAATATACCCGATAAAAAATACATAATACCACGGAATTAGATTATCTAAGTCCGTGATAATACTATAAATATATATATCATAAGTAATAACGACATAAATGTATATATATGCTTTAGTCCGATCATGTAATTGCAATCCTTTTATCAAATATATCTTCTACCCGATAATGATACTTAAATGTATCTTACATATATATTCATTAATGTATATAATAATTGATAGATTTCTGCCCGTTCCTGCCCGTTCCTGCCTGCTCCTGCCTGTTCCTGTAAATCGTCTCTCCATTTTGAATTTTGTATTACCTCGTTATATTTACATTCTGTATGCTTAGACCCATTGACAAAAATTACATTCATAAATGCATAACACAGGTGTTCATAGAATCTCAGCACGTGGGAACTGATAGTAACCTGATCACACTGCGTAGTAATACACTACAAAAACTACTCACTCGGAACGACCGACCTAGATGCTTAATTCTTACATCTTAAAATATTATTGAACTGTGCTTTGTGAAATATCCACGTATTCACGTGTCCTGTGCTACAAATAAACATTGAATATGGAACTACATTTTGTTGTGTTATTGTTGTTGACGGTTGCTAAGATCTCTCACGATAGTGTCACATTTCCCCGCGAAAAAACACTGTTCTCGCCACTGCGTTGCACCCGTGTATAAGCAGGAACAAACCCTGTTTATTTGTTTTATTCGTTGTTATATCGATCCACTGAAAGGATTCGTCAATGTAAATATAAGGAATGATATTTATTTTTTCAACATTTATGAGGTCATAACAACAATGGGTTTTTGGACATATTTTACATGAATCGCAATCATTCCTTAAGTACAAAACGAAATATGAAAATATATTCAAGAAAATACCAATTCTTTAATATATTTGCATACTTAGTATATGAAGTCGTAGTCAATAATGTAATTTAGTTTATTTGCCGCTTTCAACATTTTATTGTTGACATTTAATATAGATTGGTTTTGTTACATATTGTATATTTCGAAAAAATTATAAAGCATTGTTTTGGTTGGAAACACTGAGGTAAATAAACAAAAGCACAATCTTGAGGAAAGCACAGGGCCACATGTTTATGTGTGTTGTGACCCATATCAGTATAACATATGTGTGATTGTAACGTGGCCCTGTGAGGAAAGTAAGAAAACTTATAGGGTAAGTAAGGTAAACCTAAACTAGTTTTAAATAAACAACCTAGGGCGAACGGGATTTAGGGCGAAACAGCCTTCCACTGAGCACTGTGATGTCTCAACTTACACCTATAGTCAGTAAAGTTATAAAGTTATCATGTGCATTATGTAGGAAATAGTTTTATCATATCATAACAATGTGTATTTAACTATGCAAATATATTATATTCAAATCGCTTTTGATTTAAAAAGTTAGGTTTTTTTTACTGTAAATATTGTTCCTCTAAGCCAGGCGTAGTCCAAGTGACATAAACTTCAGCGTGTTGAAGGCAGTCACTACAAAGTAGAAGTAGAAGAAGCACAATTCCCAAACGGCAAGACATAAAACACGAAAATCTCTTTTTTTTTAATAGTTTGGAGACGTCCCCTCATTTGGGTTATAATCATGCATTTGGGTAACAATTGCTTTTTATAGTACCAATTTTAATCCCGAAATAGAGAATAAAGTTGGATAAGATGTACCAGAAAGTTCATAAACTCCCCACTATAAAAGATAGAGATTATGCGTACGAAGCAGTAGTCGGACCAAAACTTGAATATTGAAACGAAAACTCGTCTGTCGTCTCTACTTGAGGGTTACACTCAAGCCTACTGTATGTCACGGATTCAGTGCTGATCACAGATCGTCGTATTAGCCAAGATTGTCAAAGAATAACTCAACCCCTCAAATCAAGTGCAATACATATATTCTGATAAAGCATAAGATTAGTTATTACAGAGGTACAATATGGTATTTCAGCTCTCACTCTGGTTACTCTAGTTACAATAAATGATTATAACCAAGAGGATGTCCCAGTATTTGTCTTAATTGTCTCAATGGTAGCGTCTACAGTAACAAAGTACACTGGCCGAATAGAGTATTATTGTATTGCAATGATTAAAAATAGTTTTTTATGATAAATATTCAAATAACGTAATCAATAACAAGAAATTATAAAAGTATTATCTAATAATACCCTATCTAATACAGAGTAATCTGACACTCACACTTTAAATAATAAATAACTATTACAGTGAAATCTATAGAAAGTATCACATATAATACTTTCTCTAGTACATGAAAACACTAAACTCTTGAGATATTCTTTAAATGTGATTATCAGAAGAGCAAGTGAGCTTATGCCATGGCGCAGTGTCCGTCGTCCGTCCGTCTGTCAACTTTTCCTTTAAAACGCTTTTTGTCCTGAACGACCCAGTAGATTTTGACCAAATTTGGTCACAAGCATCGTTGGGGGAAGGGGAACACATTTTGTATAAATGGTGGGTGTGGCCCCCCTGGGGGCTGAGGGGCGGGCCCAATAGGGGAAATAGAGCAAATTCTTTAAAATCTTTCTTCTTCTGTAGGAATGAAAGGATTAATTTTGTATAAATGGTGGGTATGACCCCCCTAGGGGCATAGAGGTGGGGCTCTGTTTGAAGTTTGTTCTTGCTATATCTCAAGTACTGGATGGATCTTTCTGAAATTTCATATACATGTAATTTCAGCATCTACCATTGATTGCTATATCTTTACTTCATACCAATTATTTTAAACACATTCAGGTGAGCGATACAGGCCCTCTGGGCCTCTTGTTCATAATATGGAAATGGATGAAAGTATCAATTTCTCTATTACAAGATCTCAACCAAACATCTTGTAAAAAATATAAGAGAACATTAGACTCTTATAATTAAGACCTATAATTGTTACAATAACTTGATAATTATGGAAATTGATCAAAGCATCAATTTCTCTATTACAAGATTCCAACCAAAGATCTTGTAATAAAAGTAAGAGTACAATAGACTCTTATAGTAACTTGTTTTTTTTTTTTTTTTTTTTTTATTTTTCAAGATTTTCAGAACATGTACATTATACAGAACATCACATCAACACACATCCACACATTCACACATATCTACTATTGAAATTATCGTCATCCTCATCCTCATCATCCTCATCCTCATCCTCATCATCTGATGATGATTTTATACAATCACCAAGACACATTCAATTTTCACACACTTTCACACATAGAAAGACAAAACAAATGGGCAAAGAGCACTGAGAGAGAGAGAGAGAGAGAGAGAGAGAGAGAGAGA